CGACCTCCAGGTGGCTCGAGGGCCAATTTCTCAGGGCTGGACAGGACCTCCTGACTCACAGGAGCCTATGGAGCAGGAAGCACCAATCCCCTATCCACTGGGGCCCCCCCACCTCCCTTTCTTTCCCACGACTCCCAGACTCCAACTCCGGCTAGCCACAGTTCCTCCCACGTCGGGGGAACCTGGAGGCCAAGTGGGGCCGCTACCACCTAGAGATGACGGTCTATCAGCCAAAGGCAAGACCAGGGTCTCGGAGACATTTCCCTGGGACCACAAGGGCCCTTCCCCAACTCTTGCGCCCCACCCGGATATTGTGGCGAGGCCAGGGCTGGAAGAACAGGGTGGGGGTGAAGAGGACTTCCAGGAGGCAGCTCAAGGCCCCCTCTCCACCCAACAGGGTCCAGCATCCCCTGATACTGGCTCAGTATCACCAGCTGAGGGGGCATCCTCTCAGGAGCCTGAGTCCCAGCCAGACCTGGCACTGGCCAGAAGCCTTCCTCCTGCTGAGGAGCAGTCCATGGAGCTGCCCAAGATGGCTGGAGGTGGGGAGGCCTGGGAAGTCAGTTTTTCAAGTCCCTCCCCCAAACAGGCTCACCTCCCTGATGTCAGGGGCTCACCAGGACCTCAGCCATCTGATCCTCCAGTCTCAGAGACTTCTGATGGGCAGCCCAAGCCAGGTGGGTATCAAAGTGAGGGTGCTAATCAGGGCTGGGAGGGGCAGTGTTCCAGGGCAACTGGATGTCCCCGTTTCTGTGTGACCTCTGGGTCCCATTTACCTCATTCTGGCCAAGGAGGGTGATCATGCCTCTCTCCTGGAGGATTAGATTTGGGGAAACGCTGGAGGGTCAGGCAAAGCGATGACTGCTTTTTTTTATTTCAGAGTTGGCAGCAGTGAATGGAGCAGATCCCATCTCCCCTCAGCGGGTGAGAGGTGCAGTGGAGGCCCCAGGTACCCCCAAGTCCCTCATCCCTGGCCCCTTGGACCTTGGCCCAACAGCAAACCGAACAGAAAGCCCTGTGGGATCCCTGAAGCCAGGTGAGGGCATGGCTGGGGGGTTGGTGAGAGCCGGTACTCTGGAATAAAAGAACCTGTGTGACGCATATAGGGGAGGGGTGGGGAATGAGTGGGGATGAATACCTCCTTAAAGGAACTGACCAACAGCTTCAAACAACTTAGGATAATAAACTACTACTCACTGGGTACTCCGGGAGAAGTCATTTGCATTCTGGGGACTAGAAAAGTCTTAAATTAAATTAACATGGGTTTATTTAGTGCAAGAGATTCTCCAACTCCCATAATTCACTGGAGGAGCTTTGAAAAAATTCCAAAACCCAGGCCCCAATGAGAGGAATTCTGATTGAGTTGATCTCCAGGTGATTCTAATATGCAGCCCCTATTGAGAACTGCTGTTATATCAATAAAAATGACAGGACACATCCATTTAACCCTTAGTGGGTATTGGGGACGATGCTAAATATTTAATCCTCATCGCAACCCAAGGTGGGGGGGGGGGTGCTGTTAACTATCCCCATTTTACAGATGTGCTTGGCAAAGTTATATAACTTGTTCGCCACACCAGAGCATGATGGGAAATCAAAAGCACTTTTCAAAGGGCTACTTTAATATTGTTATTATTGCAGATGAAGCCGAGGAGTGGCCGGGGCGCCCCCAAAGCCATCCCCCAGCACCCCCTGTCCAGGCCCCCTCGACGTCTCGCCGGGGCCTCATTCGGGTCACCACGCAGCGCGCCCTGGGCCAGCCACCCCCTCCGGAGCCCTCAGCCAGCTCCACGGCATCAGTCCCTGCCTCCAGCCCCCCAGCTAACGCCACGGCACCCCCTCTGCGCTGGGGTCCCCTGCGACGGGTGCTGAGCTTTTCCTGGGAGCTGCACGTTTACGGGGTGGGGGTGCTCTTCCTGCTGCCCGCGTTGTTGGCACTGGCGTCGCTGGCAGCCGCCCCTGCTGGGCCCCGGCTGGCGCTGGTAGCGGCGGTGCTGGTACTGGTAGCGGCGGGGCTGCGGTCCGCCTACATGCTCACCGACCCGTATGGCTCGCAGGCACGGCTGGGTTTGCGCGCCGGCCTGGTGCTCTACAATCTGCCCTTCCCCTTGCTACTCACCGCGCTGGCGGCCCTGACCTTGCTGGGTCTGGGCGTGGGCCTGCCACAGCAGCTGCAGAACCCGCTCCTCCTGGGAGCGCTGGCGTTGGCGCACGGCTTGGGGCTGCTCGCCACAGACCTGCTGTCGGCGAGGCCTGCGCTCAACCTCCTGGCCCAGGGTTTATCGTGCGCCTGGGGCGCGGCCGTGGCTCTGGGCACTCTCTGTCTGTGCCGTCGCCGCCTGTTGGACGGGCCGAGGGGCTGGGATGCCAGCCCGGGCCCCAGGCTGCTGGCCGTGGCCGGTGCGCTGGGGCTGTTGGCCAGCGGCTTGCAGCTGGCAGCGGCGCTCTGGTTGTACCCGGGCCCGGGCCGGGTGGGCCGCTTCTCGTGGGCTTGGTGGGGCGTCCACTTCTGGCTGCGCCTACTGGAGCTGACATGGGCACTCACCCTGGCGCTGGCCGCTCTGGCCTCCGCGCGGCCCAGGCCGCCCACAGAGCACGCTTGCTGGGCTAAGCTGCTGCGCCTGGCGTGCCCCACGCCCTCTAGCAAGAGCGAGGTGCCGGAGCGGCCCAACAACTGCTACGCGGGGCCCAGTGGCGTCAGCGCAGGTACCCTGGACATCAGCAAGAGCCTCATCCGCAATCCGGCGGAGGGTGGGCCTCCAGCCACGCCCAGCTCCGGCGCCTGGGGTTCGGCTGCGTCACTGAGCCGCGGTCCCCAGGGTGGCCCCGGACTGTCCCGCAGCAGCGTGGGGCCGGCGCCATCGATAAGCGAGCTGGACCTGCGGCCGCCATCACCCATCAACCTGAGCCGCAGCATCGATGCCGCGCTCTTCCGGGAGCACCTGGTGCAAGACAGCGTCTTCCGACGCTGCGGCCTCCGCTGCCTGGCCTCCCCGCCGCCCGGGGGCGCGCTGCGGTCGCGCCGGGGCAGCCACCCCGACGCGGAGCTCGACGGCTTGGGTTCTTCGCTCCTCCGAGGCCGAAGCCGGTCGCTCAGCGACGTGCGCATGCGCGGCCCGGTCCCGCCACACGTGGTGGACGAAGTTGACGCGGCGGCTTCCGGCAGCTCCGTGGACAGCTTCTCCCGGGGCTCGCTCAAGATCAGCTGGAACCCGTGGCGTCACGGGCTGTCGTCGGTGGATAGTCTGCCTCTGGATGAGCTGCCCAGCACAGTGCAGCTACTGTCTACCCCAGCTCCTGCCCTGGCTCCTGCGCGGTCTGGGGAGCCCCAGAATGGGGTCCAGCCTCGCTGCAAGACGGGAGACTCGCGCAGCGCCTCCAGTGACACCATCGAGCTTTGAGGGGTCCAGAAACTCAGGACCAGGGCCCCTCCCTCGGAGCCCTAGCGCAAACCTTCTGGGACTTTGAGCATTTGAAAGACATTCCAGGAGTATTCCTGGGCCTCCAACTGAATGCATCCTCCGGAGACAGCCAGACATGAACCCACCCCCAGCCCAGGATTTTTGTTTTTTAAAATATCTCTATTTTTTTCAGCGGGTATTTTGCACAGAGGCCGAGGCTTAAACGGAATACAGGGTGGACATGCACGGATTTGAGGATGGGGAACAGGGTACAGGTGCCCGAAAACATCCCCTCCAGATTCCCCAGGGTGAAGATGAGTCTTGCTTGTCCAGACTGTCCTCTTTGTGCCAAAGAAATAAACCCTTAGGACTTGGCTCATGCCTCCTTCTGCCCTTGCCAGGATCCTGTTTAGAGGAGATGGCCCCCTTCACCCACCCACCTAATGATTCCAAGTCCTGTGTGTAATGTGGAAGGGAGGAATTCCAAAGGAAAGGGCACTCAACTCTCCGAGGCTTTTTTTTTTTTTTTTGGTCTGCACCGGGTCTTCCTTGCTGTATGTGGGTTTTCTCTAGTCCTGGCCAGTGGCCAAGGAGGGCTACTTTGGTTGCAGAGCATGGGCTCAAGGTCATGGGGGCTTCAGTAGTTGTGGTGAATGGGCTTAGTTGCCCGTTAGCACATGGAATCTTCCCGGACCAGGGATCGAGCCCGTGTCCCCTGCATTGGCAGGCAGATTCTTAACCACTGGAACATCAAGGAAGTCCCCTTGGAGGCTTTAGAAATAATGGCTACCAATATTTCATGGAATATCTATCTGCTGTACACTTTTCAGCTCTTTATATCCATCACCTTAATTCTCACATTAAGCCTGAATGGGAAGCATTATCATGCCCATTTTATAGAAGAGTCATTTGTCAGGGTCCTTTGGCAAATGATAGGTAGTACTGAACCGAGAAAGTTCCATTCCTTTGGTTCTGCCATCCCCCTTCCTCTTTAACATACTTCAGGGCCAAGGCTCTCCTTTGCCTTCTACTCCTCCCATCAAGAGAGCCCTCAGTTTCCCAGGGTTTTAGGAAACTTCCCCAAGGGTGGAGGGTTCTCAGTAGCTTAAGCCAACCCATGGCAGGTGGGAACAGGTAGGAAGACAAGCTTCTCCATTTTCTAAGACCTTTCTTTATTTCCTGAGATGAATAAATAAATCAGTGGCTGAGGGGCAGGGGGGTGAGTACAGAACAGGAGCTGGCAGCATGCAGCTGGCAGGAGGGGGCTGTGAAGGGCCCACCCCTGCAGGGACACCTTCCCCCAACCCCACCCTGGGCAAGGACCAAAGCTCACCAGCAGCCACAACGAGGAGACACTGTTTAAAAAAAATTCACACATTGTGAAGCCGGCCCACTGCCCCAAGGTCAAGATCTCAAGGCACCTGCCCTTGGGGCTACTTTTTCACCCCAGGGGCCTAGTATCTGGGCTGCTCTATAAAGTGGGGAGGGGGTGCTTACCCCACTCTCAAAAATAAAGCAAGTGCCTCAAGTGTCCAGATGGGAGAGTCCCGACCTCGGGGACAGCCTGGGTGGGAGGAGATGATGCAGGTGTGGCAGCGATTATCTGCCCTTGATGAAGCCCTCCAGCACACGGTCACTGCGCTCTGACAACCAATAGCCAGTCATGGCTGCCACAGCTCCAATGAAGATGGCGGTAAAGACCAAGTCGCCCTTGGCGGCCAGTGTGGCCAGTGCGCAGATGATGACACCAAAGAACATCTGCTGCAGCACCACCAGCTCGTCCTCCGTCATCTCCGAGAAGAAGCCCGCTGACTCTGAGCAAGAGAAGCGCCTGTCACTCATTTCCTCTTTCTGGAGCCTCCTACATGCCTGATCATCGCTGCCACATACATGCCCGCTGGGCACGCCAGCACACGGCGTCATTCACTGCTGAGAACAACTCCCAGATGGGCTATTATCTATGTTTCACTAAATGGAAAACTGAGGTGCAGAGAGGTCTGCCCAAGGCCATGTGAGACAGTCATGTCAGAGCACGTGTACAAGCCCGGCTCCAGAGTCAGAGCACCTGGATTTGACACCCAACTCTGCCACCTGCTTACCTTGGGGCCCTGGGCGAGTTGTTTCATCTCTGTGTCCCCTGTTTCCACTACGCAGAGTGGGGATGAGAATAAGACCTATCACATGGGGTTTGTTTTAGGGGTGAAATCAGTCAATATGTACAACATGCCTGGAACAGCATGTGACATGTAGTTCGAGACCATGGGAGTGGTCACTATCACCATCACTCTGATTGTCCTTCGTCTCATCACACCCACAGCTTACAACAGCCCTCAGCAGCTGGGCAAGGACAGATGGGAAAAAGGCTTGGGGAAGCAGAATGATTTGACGCCGAGTCAGATTTCCTTTCTACCCTGGGAAGGGTGAGGCCACCAAAGGCCAGCCTGGGAGGTGGGGTTCTTGTGCCAGGGCAGCCTCGTGAAGGGGTGGGGAAGGGAAGGTCTGCAGCTGCCCAGGTGAGGGGCTTGCCGGCCCTCCTCCTGTATGGGAAACTCCCCTCCCCAGGCTCCTGGGGCTCACCTGGGATCTGCTCCTTCACACAGATGCCTTCCATTTGTTTGTAGCCGTCGGCACAGACGCAGCGGTAACTGCCCTCAGCATTCTCACATTGCTGGTTCTCTCCCGGGCACACCGCCGTCTCGCACTCGTCCACATCTTGAAGGGGGGCAAGGAGGGCTCAGAGCCCTGACCGCCAGGGTCCCATCTCACTCACATCCTGACACCCCACTGCCCTGGCCCAGGCAACATTCCGCCCTTCCTTCCCACACCCCGCCCACAGTCCAGCCCCTGTCGATTCGTGGTGGGCAAGGCGCTCGTGGGTGGCAGGACACTCACCGAGACACTTGGAGCCCACCTGCTGGTAGCCAGGGCTACACTTCTTACAGCGGCCGGGTCCCGCCCCCATGCAGCCCAGGCAGGCCTTGGCACAGTCTGGAGCAGGGAGAAACATGAGGGCAAGCTGCCCGTGGGCCTGAGGGAGCGCTGCTCCAGAAGGGACCTAGGGTGGAGGGGTTGGGGCACCTGGGAAGGCAGCAGTTTGTGGGGAAAGGCGTCAGGCAGCCCCTCCCACCCTCCCCACAGCTGTCCCCAGAAGACAGGAGCAGACACTCACCCCGGCACTCGTAGGAGCCCTCCGTGTTCACACAAAACTGGTCAGCTCCACAGCTGGCTCGCTCCGTGCCGCATTCATCAATGTCTGCGAAGAGGCCGGCAGGGCGGAGACTTCAATCCCCATTTCACTCACAGGGAAGCTGAGGCCAGGGTGGTTGGGAAAGGACTTGCCCGGGCTCAAAGAGTGTGGCTGAGACAGCAGGCTGTCAGTGACCACAGACACAGGGGTGCAGCTGGACTCGGGCTGGCCAACTGGAGACTACTGGTTTTCAACTTAGTGGCTAACTGTGGCCTTGGGACCGAGTTTTTTGCCAATGGGATGCAGACAAAAGTGACATGCTGCACTGTTCGCTTGGCCATAAAACAATGGACTTAGATGCTCTGTGCCCTTTGTTCTCTACCTCACCTCTTCAGTGCCAGGTGGTGAGACAAAGAGGTGCCCATGATCCAGCCTCAGAGGAGGACTGCACAGGAAAACAGAAGGAATCCAGGTCCTAATGACCATGATAAGCGGAGGTTTTCTGCTAGCCTGGACCACTGGCTTCAAGACTGATATGAGATGAAAATAAACCTCTATATTCACTAAGCCACAGTCTTTGGGGATCTTTCTGTTACAGCAGCTTAACCTTTACCCTCGTCTATCTGAATGATGAGACAGGGACCAAACTAAGTCTCGAACACAGGTTTCCTGACCCCAAGTTCCGTATCCTCATTCCCCTGGCTAACCCTTCTCCAATCTTCAAGACCAGACCCAAGCTGACACCTCCTCCAAGAGGCCTTTCCTGATTCCCCACCACCACCAAACTCGATGAGACACATTTCCCGCTGTACAACAGTTGGTCTCTACTGAAAGTGCCTGGTTACTTTCCCGCTTTTCCACCCAGGTTGATATTTCTCTAAGAAGATGGAGACTGGACTGGTCGAGCCTAGAGATATGTGTGTTGATGGGGCACCAAGCCCTTGCCTGCCCTCCCAGACAGGGTGCCACTCACCTACACACTTGAGGTGATGCAGGGCCCAGCCCTTCTTGCACTGCAAACAGTGTGACTCCTCGGGTCCTGAGCAGCGGGCACAGGGGCCAAAACAAGCTGGCGCAATGGGGGAAGTATGAGGGTGGGCACACAGGCATCCCACTCACCCGTGCCCGGCCCTGCGCCTCTGGGCTACCTACCCGAACATACCAGATGGCTGGCGTTGCGCTCCGCCTCAAAGTAGCCGAGGCCGCACTGGCCACAGGCCTCACCCCCGTAGCCAGCTTGGCAGTCACAGTGTCCGCTGCCCCCTCGAGTCCCTTCCCCTTCACAATGGCCGTAGCCACCGCAGGGCCGCTCCGCACCCCCAGGACAGGCTGTGGGCAGACACCGAACCAGGTGGGATCATAAGTACAACATCTTATCAGAGTATTTTCCCCCATGTCAGTAAACATTTTTGGAGAGGAAACCATTTTAACAATGCCATAATATTCTGTCATAAAACTTTATGAAATTTACTTAACCACTCCATTGTGGAATGGTTAGGTTAATCACAAATCTTTTCTTTTAGGAAGACTGCATTGCCCATCTTTGTTGCTAACTCTTTATATGTGCAGCTGCAAGAGAGATTTTTCTAATAGGGGCTGGTAGTAAGTTCAGCTCCTGTCTCAGGACTGTGTGGAAAAAAAACTGGTGACAGCAGGGCCTTCAAGGCCTGTCCCTAAGAAGGTCATACCTTAATCCCTCAGTCCAGGCATGGGAAATGTGGGGCTGGGGCTGAGAGGATTTCTCAAATACATGATAGAAACCATGGTCCCATCTGACTCCGTCTAGCCCCGTATCTCTTTTCAGAGTCATTCCCCACTGATTTGCTCATCTCACCAACCAGCTCTGTGAGGTAGGTGAGAAGAGAGGTCCAGAGAAGTGATCTGAGGAGCCTGAGCTCACAAAGCCAGCCACGGGCAGGGCCACGACTGGCCCCTGGCCCCAGCAGTTCCCTTCCAGCCCCCAAGAGGACCTGGAAAAACTCACGAAGGCAGGAGGGCCCGAAGGTGCCTGAGGGGCAGCAGAGCTTCAGGGAATCTGAGCAGAGCCACTGGAAGAGGTCGGGGGCTTCCTGCTGCCTGAGGTGGGGGGACAGTGTGGGGCTGAGACAGTGTCAGAGGTGCTGCCCACCCCACCCCCCAACCTCCCACAGCATCCGTGATACAGCCATTTTGGGCACAGGACCCAGAAGACCGCCCTCTTCTTGTCTGGCAGCGTTGTAGACTGCAGCTCAGAGAGGGAGCTTGGGTTCCCCAGGAGTCCTTGGCACATGTGGGTTTAGAGGAAGGAGCCAAAGGAGGACATAGCCCGAGCTCACCACCCGGCCTGGCCTGAGCCCCTCCCAGGAAGGCCCCCATCACTTACTTGTGAAACCACCAGCTCTCCACCAGCTCCTCACTCAGCTCCAGCAGGCGGTGGCACTCGAAGTCCGACTTGCTACACACGCCCTCAAGCACCTCTACCAGGCGGGTCTCACTGACGGGACAGGGAGAGATGGTAGGAACACTCTCCAGCCCACTGACTACCCTCCTTATAATCCCTTCCCCCACCTGGTGCCACAGTGTCAAAGGCCACAGGCCAAGAGGTACTAGTTTTGGGAGTCAGACAGATCTGGGTTCCAATCTAGTGGTGTGACCTTGGGCAGGTCATTTAACCTCTCCTGAGCATGTTTTCTCATCTGTAAAATGGGGACAATGGCTCCCCTGCAGGTTTGCTGGAAAACAGCTCAGTCCCTGCATATGCACAACACAATATGATAGCCTTGCTTGGTAGATGTGGTTAAAAACATATCATATAACAAGTGCTGGCAAGGATGTAGAGAAACTGGAACCCTCCTATATAGCAGGTGGGAATGAAAAATGGTGCAGCCACTGTGGAAACCATTCGGCAGTTTCTCCATAAGTTAAACATGGAATCACCATATGACTCAGTAATTCCACTCCTGGATACTTTGCCAAAAGAATGCAAAACAGGTGTTCAAACAAAAACTTGTACACAACCATTCACAGCAATACTATACACAGTAGTCAAAAAGTAGAAACAACCCAAATGTCCATCAACTGATAAATGGATAAACAAATATGGTCTATTAACACAACAGAATATAACTAAGCCTTAAAAAGTAATAAAGTACTGATATTTGCTACAAAGTGGATGAACCCTGAAAACATTATGCTGAGTGCAAGAAGCCGTACATAAAAGGCCATACTGTATGATTCCAACAGAATCAGCAAATCCACAGAGACATATAGCAGATTAGTGGTTTCCAGCAGCTGGGGGAAGAGAGAATGATGCTCCATGGAGATGGAGTTTCTTTTCTGGGGGATGAAATTGTTTGGGAACTAGATGATGGTAATAGTTGCAAAACACTGAATATACTAAATGTATATTCTAAATATTTAATATACATTGGTATATCTAACAGTAAATTTATCTAATGGTAAATTTTATGTTATTGCATTCTACAACAATAAAAACAAATGTTTAATGTATATACAATACAAAAAATGCATTACATTATGCTTAAAGGGTCTGGCACAGTGCCTGGCATATAGGAGGTGGTGACTTAAAATAAAACCAAAAAACAGGAACCGTTATAGAGCTAGAGTTGCCCTTACGGTTACCGTGGTCAACCCCTTCATTCCCAAATGAGGAAACTGAGGCCCACTGAGGGAAAGGAAAATGACCAATGTTACATAGTAACAAAACTTTTCTTTCTAGCGGTTTAATCACAGTTTAATCTTTACCACAATCATATAAAACTGGATTGACTTTAATACTCCCAATTTACGGATAAGGATGAGGATCAAAGGTGAAGTGATCTATCTTCCCGTAGGTACAAAGGATCACAACTGACATGGCCTAATTTCAAGCATGGCATTCCAATCCCTAATTAGACTTTGAAAAGCTAAAGGGTCTAGGACTCAGGCCTCTCCTCTGAATATAATCTCATCTTGGGAGGGGGGATCGGGATGGGGAACACATGTAAATCGACGGCTGATTCATGTCAATGTATGGCAAAAACCACTACAATATTGTAAAGTAATTAGCCTCCAACTAATAAAAATAAATGGGGAGAAAGAAAAAAAAAATCTCATCTTGGTCCCTGGCTTTATAAACTGACTATATGTTGATGACTGTCAAATTCATGTTTCCAGCCCTATTTCTCCCCTGAACTCCTGACTCCTACATCTAACTCTACTTGACTATTTAATGGACGTTGCAGCCCAACATGTCCAATGAGAACACCTGATTCCATGCCTCCCCTAGACCCATTTATCTCATCTCACAAAACAGTCCCACTATTCACCCAGTTGCTCAGGCCCCAAATGGAGTGAGCACCTTTTATTCCTTTCCTCTCACACCTCATAATGATTCCATCATCATGTCCTATCCTATCTGCAAAATAAACCCAGAAACTGACCCTTTCTCACCATATCCACCACTGCCAACAGGCCTAGTCTATGACCTAGCCTCCCAACTGGTCTTCCTGCTCCTCCACCACCACCCCCTATAATCTGTCCCTGTGAGAGACCTTTTGTAGGTATAAATAAAACTGTTATCACTTCCCGGCTCCAAACCTTCCGATGACTTCCTGATATACTCAGAATAAAATCTAAATGTCTGTCTGTGACTTTCCGGGCCCTCTGCCTTCATCTTCTGCCATTCTCCCTTCAGTTCACTCCAAATCCAACCGCTTCTCAAATACATCAAGCTCAGTCCCACTCTGTCCAAACCCTTTTCTGAACTGGTGCAGTCTACTTCTGCACCTCAGGTCTCTGTTCAAATGTCATACGCTGAATGCCATGTCTCCCACCAATCTGCAATCCATCCTGCTTCACCTGATATGACTTTATTAATTTATTTGGGCTTCCCTAGTAGCTCAGTGGTAAAGAATCCGCTTGCTAATACAGGAGATGTGGATTTGATTCCTGGGTCGGGAAGATCCCCTGGAGAAGAAAGGCAACCTGCTCCAGTATTCTTGCCTGGGAAATCCCATGGGCAAAGCAGCCTGGCGGGCTTCAGTCCACGGGGTTGCAAAAGGGTCAGAAGTGACTTAGTGATTAAACAATAACAACTTATCTATTCACTGTCTCCTCTACTAGAATGTAAGCTCCTTGAAGGTGGGATTCTGATTGGCTTGTTTAGTGCTGTCCTGTATTCAGAGACATTGGCCACGAGTCTCTAGGCCTCCACCAGCATAGCAGAGACTGGGATGTTAGGTATACAAACTCACCCCTCCAGCCTCTTTCTTACCTGTCTTTGTATTTGGACAACTTCTCTTCCTCCCAAGCAGTGTTTCCACCTCCAAAGTTGTCCCGGATGGTTCTCTCCAGGCCCTGGAAATGGAGAAAATTAGTAATATTAATAGCTAAGTACACTGCCTGGCACATTCCAGCACTTGCATTTCACAAACCAGGAAACTGAGGCAGAGAGGCAACCTGCCCAAGTCTATTCAAACAGCAAGTGACCAAGCTGGGACATGAGTCCATACAGTCTTGTATCCCAGAGCTCCAAACTCTCAACCCCTCTGTTACAGTAGCTGGCCTCCTCCTCTTACATTGCTGATGCACCCACCTTGTTGAAGCTGTCAACCAGTCCCCGGCAGGTGTGACACGGATGGGGCTCAGTGTGGGGAGAAGATTGAGGAGGCACAGAAATTTGGACCCAGACCAGGCCTGGGAAGCCAAGGAAGAGGCTCAGACCACAGAGCAGACCTGGGGCTATGCCCCTTGAGGATCTTGGGGCCATCTTTTCCCAGGCTGGGGACCTGTAGACAGAGGATATGGGGAGGGTTAACTAGGGAAGCCAAGTGGGAAGGAAAAGGGTGGGTTCTGCGGTGCTGCGGGTCTGGGGGCCCAGATCTGTGTTATAAGAAAAGAAGGCTAGACTGGGTTAAGTCCGAGGGAGGGGAGACAGTTAGGTAAAGGAAGCTATTCTAAAATTCCAGGACGGTAATAAGTTATCCTCGCCGCTGCGGGGGGAGATGGCCAGGATCCTCGGCAAGGAGGTAGGAGTCAGCCCATCGTTTTAGGGTCGGAATACGGTTCTAAAAGGCTGAATCAGCAGAATTGGAGAACTGGTTAGATTCCTAAATACTGCGGGAGAAGACTCCGGATGAACGGTCTTGGGGGGAGGAGTCCGGAAACCCGGTGTGGGGGAGGGTGGAGGAGCCCGGATCCGGATATGAAGAGGTCAGGTCCAGGGCCTTCAGACGGCAAAGGCGTGGCCCACTAGCGGGCAAGGAAGGATCCAGATCCACATAGGCCGCGGAGGAGAAAGAGACGACCCACCCAGCCCGCGGCCGCCAGCAGCTCAGTTTTTCCAACGCAGCAGCTGCGTAAGACGTGCACCCACCGCCTACTCCGCAGCCGGGAGGGGCGGAACCCACGCCACAGCCAATGACAGCGGGCCATGTGCTATTGCGTCACCCAACGCCAGCCAACCAGAGACGTCTCCGGACTGCACCTGTCCGGGAGTTAAAGGGGCGCGGGGATACCGATGCTGGTAGTTTGGTGGACAGTCACCGAGGAGACACACTGGAGACACGGGTAGAAAAATAGCGTCTGACTTTATTCAAGTCCTGTCTCCTGCCTCAGGCCCCATCCCGCGTCCTGTCCCCGGGGCAGCCGGGGGCCGGAAACAGCTATCCAGAGCGGGCTGCAGGGCCCGGGACACTTGCTCTGCTCTCTCTGCGAGCCGCCGGGGGCGGGGGGCAGCAGGCCCCTGCAAAGTCCCCAGAAAGTCGGGCAGCTGTGAGGGCAAAGAGAAGACTGGCACGCTGCGGAACAGGGCGGGCACAGCGTCCGCGGGCAGCAGTTTGTCAAAGTAGGCCCCGACGTAGCGGCCGGGCGCGCGGCCCTGCAAGAAGTCTGGCAGCACGCAGCTGAGCGAGGCAGCGAAGGCATCGTGGGGGCCGTGCGCCCTGGGCGCCGAAGTGGCATCCTGCAGCCATTCCCGGCACAGCGCCACGGCCCCGGGCGAGAAGAGCAGAACCACCACGCCGCCCTCCTGCAGGGTCTGACGCCGCTGCGCGTGGAACCAGGCCAGCGCTCCCTGCGCGCTCAGATCGCGGCGGCTCCAAAGGTCCACGGCCACGCGCAGCGGCAGCTGGCACAGCGCCGAGGCCAGGGCACCCACCAGGCGCTCGAAGCTCGCGTCGTCGGCGGAGTAGAGGAGCAGAGCCGCACGGCTCCGGGCGGCAGCTGCGGGAGAGAAGAGAGCGGGAGGGAGACGTGAGCTGGCCCGAGGCCCGGCCCGCTGGGGGCGGGCCCCGCCCCGCTCTTGCTCACACTCACCCCCCGCGCGGATGTCCTCCTTCAAGAGCCTCAGCCACCCTGCGAGGGGAGAGGAGCGGAGGCAGCCGGTCAGCCCGGTCCCCGCTTTCTCCTGGCCAACTTCCAGTCCTGCCCCCTGGGGAATGGGGAGCTGGGAAGCGCTCACCTTTCACATGGTTCATTTTGAGAAGAAGGAGAAGGAAAAGCACAGCGGCCAAGAGTAAGCAGGCCAGCCAGACCAGGACCCAGCGCTGGTGGATGTCTAGAAGAATGAAGGGAGAAGATGGGCTTGTTAAGAGACCCCCACTTAACGAAGGAGAAAAACTGAGGCTCAGAGAAATGAAGTGAGTTGCCCAAAGTCAGAGCTCATAGGGTCAGAGTACAGGGTATGAACACAGATCAGTATACTTGGGAGTCCTTGGATAAGTGACTTCACCTGCCTCAGTTTTCACCTCTGTAAAATTGAGATAACAATGGTATCTACTTCATAGGATTCTTGTGAGGACTATATGTATTGACCCACATAAAGCACTGAACATAATGCTGGATGGACACAGTAAGTGCTCAGATGTCAGCTAAGATTATTGTCCCCACTCCAAGGCTAGGGTTGCTGGACTCTTGACCTCACTCTCTTGGATGACTGCAGCAGCCTTCTGTCTGATGTCCCTGACCTCTTTCTTTTTTGCCTCTAACTCATTATCACATAGCTCAGTTGGTAAAGAATCCACCTGCAGTGCAGGAGACCTGGATTTGATCCCTGGGTTGGGAAGATCCCCTGAAGAAGGGAAAGGCTACCCACTCCAGTATTCTGGCTGGAGAATTCCATGGACTGTATAGTCCATGGGGTCCCAAAGGGTTGGACACAGCTGATTGACTTTCACTTTCATTACCACATGTCAGCCCGAGATCTTTTTAAATGCAAATTTGATTATAGCCTTTCAGGAAGCTCCTGCTATTCTTAATATAAAATCCAAATTGGTTACATTGGTTCCCAAGGCCCTACAATGGCCCTCATGTCCTCATCTCATGACAGAGGTCTACCTCTCAAAACACAGTCACACTGGCCACCTTGGAGTTCCTCAGAAAATCACCCAGGGTCTTCACAAAAATGCATCTTTACCCACCCCCTTCATCTAGCTCAGCCTTCAGAGTTCATGTCCAACCTTTCCCCTGAACTCACCTGACCTAGGTCAGCTCCCCTCTATAAGCACTCAGGGCTTTGGACACTGGCATGAGGACAAGGATTGTGTCTCTGGTGATGCTGGGATCACCAGATTAGTTTGTGAATTAATGAAGGAATTACCCTCTGGTTGATCTTAGCCAGGGAAGGACAAGGCCATTGTGTGTGCTTCCCTGGGAATGGTCCCTGTCAAGATTCCAGCTCCCGGTACAGACAAGGGCAGTTCTTGTAATACTCACACTTGTCCATGGGGCAGGCCCAGAGTGCTCCCAGGTCATTGTCCCACAGCTGTAAGATACAAACAAAAGCAAATCCAGGGCCCCAGCTTGGTGTTCCACACCCACCAAATTCTGGTCCTAAATTTGCAGCCTCGACCATGCATATTTCCCCCCACACCCAGCAGGTTGCCACAAGCTGCTCTGCTTTGCTCATGCTGTGCCTGTTTTCTGGACTGTGCCTTCCTCCTGGTGCCAGAAATGGCCCACAGAAAGAGATCTTTCTTTGAATGTCCCCTGGAACCCAAAGCTTAACACATTGGTTATTGACTGTCTTAACCCAGTGGTTATCTGTTTGCTGGTTTCTTATCCAGCAGTGAGCAACTTGGGGACAGTGGCTCAACCCTTAGCTTTCCCCAGGCTAGACACAAAATAAGCACATGGGTGGGTGGGTGCTAGAGGACAGTGAGGAGAACACTGCCCCAGAAGGGTTCTCTTTCCTGCTAGGCACAGGAAGAGGTAGAAGAGGTTTAAGACAGGGTTTGAAGCCTGTTGTCTTTTGGCATTGGGAAGGGCCCTCCTGCCACCTCCTTACCTGTAGACACTGGCCCGACTGCACGTCTTGTAGTAATTGCTCTCCAAGGCGAGCTGCCCTCTGCCAAGCCAAGGAGTGAGGGCTGTCACTTAGAGCCACCACACCTAGGAGACCACCAGACTACAGGTGGGCAGAATAGCTGGGGTGGGGAGGTGGTGCTGGGAGACTTTTGAGAGGCCAGTGAGAACAAGGCCCAAGTCTAAGTCACCCCCACATTCCCAGAGACCAGCACAGGGCTTGGCTCAGAGGAGGGGAACGTCAAGAGAGTGAAAATTTGAGGTCAGGTATGAGATGGAGCTGCAAAAGGACATGGAGGAGGGTCCGCCATCCCTTACCGTGGATGCCCTGCTGAGCAGTGGGGTGCAGCCACTGGGTTCCAAGGCACAGAGGGAACCATTGTCCTGGGGGCCTCGTGTCTCCACCAGCAGCATGTCATCCTTGAGGGGCCCCAGGGAGTCTGGAAAGGGTGAGACCCACTCTGAGTTAGACCCAGCCCAACCCTGCTCCATGCCTGACCTTCACCCAGGAGCTGGCACTTCCTGGGTCCACCCCATCGCAGTGGCCTTGCCCCAGCTCCCCCCGCCCCAAGGGCCCACTCACCAGCCCACAAGCACTCTTGCAGCTGTAGCTTCTCCCAGGTGCTCACCTGCTCAGAAGAGGCCAGAGTTAGAGACATGAGGAAAAGAGAACCTGAGGCCAGAAAAATCAGGAGAGAAGGAAGGAGAGACAAGGGGGAGGCCTGTCAGGTTGGGGGAGGAGGTGGTCTGGACTCTGGACCTGAACTTAGGCAGATCTAGGTTCAAGGCTGGTTAATGAGGAATCACTCCATCTTTCTCAGCCTCAGCCTTGTGAGGTTATCTGTGCTAAAGGGCCTGACGGCCCTAAATTGCTTCCCTGTTTAATCTCTAAACTGTGTCTGAACTTTTTTGTGACCCCATAGACTGTAGCCCACCAGGCTCCTCTGTCCATGGGATTTCCCAGGCAAAAATAGTGGAGTGGGTTTATTTCCTTCTCCAGGGGATCCTCCTAACCCAGGGATCAAACCTATGTCTCCTGCATTGGCAGGCGGATTCTTTACCACTGAGCCACCTGGGAAACCCAGTCCTAAATTAGCTCTTTTCATTTCTTTTTTTCTTTTCATTTCTTTAAAAAAATAAAATTTGTTTTTGATGTGGACTATTTTAAAAGTCTTTATTGAATGTTACAGTATTGCTTCTGTTTTATGTTTTGGTTTTTCAGCTGCAAGGCATGTGGAATCTTAGCTCCCCAACCAGGGATCAAACAGGTACCCCCTCCACTGGAATGCAAAGTCCACTGGACTGCCGGGGAAGTCCCTACTCTTTTCATTTCTGATAGCACTTTATATACTCCCCTCTCATCTAACCACCTTTTCAAAGAAGCCTCATCTGACTGCCCCTCTTGAAATTGCAACTACAACCCTCCTTTATCCTTCCCCATCTTTTTCTATAGCAATTATACACAAT